GTGGTGGAAGAGGACAGGACAAGGAGTAATGGTCTCAAGTTGCAGTGGGGGAGGTTTAGGTTGGATATTAGGAAAAACTTTTTCACTAGGAGGGTGGTGAAACACTGGAATGCGTTGCCTAGGGAGGTGGTGGAATCTCCTTCCTTAGAAGTTTTTAAGGTCAGGCTTGACAAAGCCCTGGCTGGGATGATTTAATTGGGGATTGGTCCTACTTTGAGCAGGGGGTTGGACTAGATGACCTCCTGAGGTCCTTTCCAACCCTGATATTCTATGATTCTATGATCATACAGACCCTGAATGCAGCAGCCTAAACTATTGAGACCTTCCAGTTGAATTTGCAGAATATCAGGAAAGCTAGAGAGAACTGTTGGGAGATATGAGGAAAATACTTTAGTAGGGCTTTTGATACTGTCTCGCATGACCTGCTCATAAAAAAACCCAGGGAAATACAACCTATATGGAGCTACTATAAGGTGGGTGCATAAATGGTTGCAAAATCATTCCCAGAGAGTGGTTATCAGTGATTCAGTCATGCTGGAAGGGCATAATGAGTGGGGTCCCGCACGGATCAGTTCTGGGTCCGGTTCTGTTCAATGTCTTCATGAATGATTTAGATAATGGCATAGAGAGTACACTTATAAAGTTTGCAGATGGCATGAAGCTGGGAGGGGTTGCAAGTGCTTTGAAAGATAGGATTAAAAATCAGAATGATCTGGAGAAATGGTCAGAAGTAAATAGGATGAAATTCAATAAGGACAGATGCAAAGTACTCCGCTTAGGAAGGTACACATACAAAATGGGGAAATGACTGCCTAGGAAGGAGTACTGTGGAAAGTGATCTGGGTGTCATAGTGGATCACAAGTTAAATATGAGTCAACAGTGTAACACTGTTGCAAAAAAAGCAAACATCATTCTGGGATGTATTAGCAGGAGTATAGTAAGCAAGACATGAGAAGTAATTCTTCTGCTCTACTCCACACTGATTAGGCCTCAACTGGAATATTGTGTCCAGTTCTGGGAGCCACATTTCAGGAAAGATGTGAGGGAAGATTGAAAAAACTGGGTTTGTTTAGTCTGGAGAAGACGGAGAGGGGACATAAAAGGTTGTTACAAGGAAGAGGGAGAAAAATTGTTGTTAACGTCTGAGGATAGGGCAAGAAGCAATGGGCTTAAATTGCAGCAAGGGCAGTTTAGGTTGGACATCAGGAAAAAGTTCCTGTCAGAGTGGTTAAGCACTGGAATAAACTGCCTAGGGAGATGGTGGAATCTCCACCATTGGGGATTTTTAAGAGCAGAGACAAAGACCTGTCAGGGATGGTCTACATAATACTTAGTCCTGCCTTGAGTGCAGGGGACTGGACTAGATGACCTCTCAAGGTCCCTTCCAGTTCTATGATATTTGAAAAGAGGTTAGCACTTCTATTTCTTCCAAATCTGTTTATTCATCACTAATATAACAGTCTACCCCTTGCATCACATTCCCAAATCTCAGCCAGTATGATTCTAACCAGGCAAAACTGCTTTTCAAGCCTTTATTCCCACTCCTTAACCAGCTATATAAATCGGGATTGAACAATGTATGCTTATTCACCTCCTACAATCATAGAATCATAGAATATAAGGGTTGGAAGGGACCCCAGAAGGTCATCTAGTCCAACCCCCCTGCTCGAAGCAGGACCAATTCCCAGTTAAATCATCCCAGCCAGGGCTTTGTCAAGCCTGACCTTAAAAACCTCTAAGGAAGGAGATTCTACCACCTCCCTAGGTAACGCATTCCAGTGTTTCACCACCCTCTTAGTGAAAAAGTTTTTCCTAATATCCAATCTAAACCTCCCCCACTGCAGCTTGAATCCATGTCTGCATGCATACAGCCACCTCACACGCCAGCCACACTGCTTTTATGTGGCACAGTGAACAGAATTCAGCACTATTGCTTCCAAAACCACAATCCTCCACCTAGCTGTTAGTAATATTAAGACATCTATTTTCTTTTTAAACTTGTGACAAAAATGGTAATAAAAAAAATCATCACAAACTCCTGAGTACATCTGATTCCATCTGGCAGAGGGCAGTGATGTATGTGCCCATAGGTATATTGCATATAGTTTTATACACAAGCATTGAGAATCCTTCCTCTCGAGGCATCTTAGACCTCGTTGGCCCAAAGATAAATAGACTGTTTGGGATTTAAACAAGGATCTTGTGCATGCAAAAAAAGATCAGTACCACTGAGATGGCCCATTATCTCATCTTTTTTATTATATTTTTAGATTTATGTTTTTAATTATTAGTTGATTTGTAAAGGAAAAACTAGTTCTTATGCTGCCTGGTGACTTGGTTTTCTTCTTGATCAATAGACACAATTCATCTTTCTTCCTGTTTCTTTGAAACTGAGATATTTTAGCAATAGAGAATTACATTTACTCTATAACAGACTGTTTTATAAAACTGTGGAGCTTAAAGAGAGATCATGTGTTTAAGACAAAACCTGGTAACAAAGTCTTCCTTTACAGATAAAATAAGTAAAGCGGGCAATTAGTTCAGTCAATCCAAAATCTCATTTGGACAAGGACTGTGAACTGTACTAAATTAGAGTTAGAAAAAGAAATGTCTCTTTAGAAGAAGACCCCACAGCAGAACTGTATTTTGCTTGAAGATTTAATAAAAATCTTTGTGATTTAATTTAATAAAAATCTTTTAGACGTGGTGGTGGTGGAAGGAAGCATTTGAATTGAAGCCTCTAAAGGGAAATGACAACTAATCTGAATTAATCTGCCTGATTGCATTTTCATATCTTGGAGAAACCCAGATGCTGTGCAATTATAGTTTTGGATGAGATATGCTGAAATATACATTTGTCCTTTCACCAACCTTTAAGAAAAAAAATTACCCTTGTTTATAGCTCCTTTTTGTCATTTTTATACTAAGGCACTCTTTTCCACTCATTTTGATAATGGACAATTATAATTTGCAGTAGCAATCTCATATTTGCCTGCTCATATAAAAATCAAGATGTGATTTTTAACATAATATGACAAATATATGTTTATAGATCCTGGATTTTTATTTCTTTATAATTGTCTTTAGTTAGTTTTTGTACAATCATTTTGTTTCTATATTTTTAACAAGCTTTTGCCCAATAAATCCAATATCTGTGATACATAACTAATCCAATAGGAACTTAACATTCACTTTCTTCCACTGACAAGCAAAATCTTCTATTTTCATTGTAATATACAAACCTATTTTTCTGCAAAAGGATCTCCAAAATCATTTAATTCAAAATATTATTTTAATATGTAAATATACTTAAGAGTAAAGAACACAGTGAAAATACTCATGTACCAACCAAATAGAACTCTGTATTTTAAACAGCATCTTAACCAACTCTGCTCTCTACCCAGAAAACTGATAGAAATGCTTACAGCAGATTGGCTTATTTTTAATGTGCCTCTTTGGCTGAAAGATTTCAGCATGTGACATATAAACAGTTGATCTAACAAGGGTTTATAGGTTTATTATTCACTTTTCAAAGTCAAATAAATCCAGCTTCAATTGTGGGATTCAGAGCAGTGTTACCCAGTATTTTAGCTGTCTTTTTGTACATTTATATTAAAAGGATTCATATTTCACCCCTTTCATGTTGAAGTTCTTCTACTGTTACAGAAGCTACACAAAATAATAGCAACACTACCATAAATACTGAAAGAGAACATATACTGCCATGGCTGCACTTCAAAACATAACTTACAGCACAACTGTAAAGAGGTTAGTTAAATTATAAAACATCAATATGATTCATTGCTACTAACGTAAACATGATTGATTTTCCATTAAAAATCCTATGTTCAGATGTACACTATGGAGTTCTGGTCCATGACTCGAGCTCCTACGTGCTATGGCAATATAAATAAATAATACAAATAACTAAAATAAATTAAGTAATTTAATGTATATGGATTTGAAACAACAACTACCCTGAGGCTATCAAAACAACAGTGCATGTCAATGTCAATTAATAATACCTGAATATCCACCTCTTTCTCCTGTGCAAAGAGTTAGATTTTTCCCTACATAAAAACAATTAAGAAAGGGGTATCCTATTCTTATCTCAAATTCCATCAACAAGACATCATCCTTTGATGCAGATGGATAACTGCCTATTTGATAAACAGATAGCCATTTCCAGTTAACTTGCTTTGCATGCAGCGAAGAACTCATTGCATATTTCTCCCCCACACACCCCACCAAAAAGAAAAAAAAAACCCAACTTATAATTAATTAACTTGCAGAGGAGTTTAGATTCATTCACAAAGGAGCTTAATAACTGAAGAGATAGATGCGCTTCCTAATGCAGCACACATATCTGATCATAAATCTTAAAAAGTAACACAAGCACGGGGGGCGGCTGAATATCGAGGGCTTTCCCGTGCCCTACCCCCGCGTGCGAGTGGCACAAAAGGACATCAGTGCCTGCCAGGGTGCTAGAAGGCGTACAGCTGCCCCCTGCCTCTCCAGCAGCGAGCGCCGTCCGAGGGGGGAAATGGCACTGGCAGCGAGCAGGCGTCTCTTTGAGTTCAGCGCCTCTAGGCACGGGAATTATTTGCAGTCAGTCGTCACCCCCCCCCCCCCCAAGCTGTGCAAAGCCTGGCTGGGCGCGGGTTGCCCTCAGGCGAGCGGGCCACTGACCCAGGCAACGGCCAAGCACTGGGCAGGCAGGCAGAGCCGTCCGAAGGGGCGATGTGGGGTGTGCGGTGCCTTCCACCGCAGAGGAACTCAGAAGCGACACTCACTCGCTCCCAGGCGCGGAGCCCAAGCCCCCAGCGGCGTTCACAAGACCAGGGCTCGGTCCCCGCTCTGCGCAGCAGCGCAAGGTGAGCGAACGCTAACGCCATTGCTCGGCTGCGGCTGGCCTAAGCGCCCCCCCGTGTGTGTCCTCAGCGCCGGGGCGGCAGCGTGCGGCTGCTCGCTCTCCACTCGCTCCCCTTCAGCGAGGTACCTGCATGGGAGCTTCGTGCCTCATCCTCGGCCCGCGCCCTTCAGCTGCCTCCCGTGCCGGGTGGGTCCCGCCGAGCAGCGAGCGCGGCCACAGCTCGCCCCGCGCGCTCCCCCGGCGTCTGCTCACAAACCGGCGGCGGGATCAGCACCGGAGCTGTCCCTCCGGCCGCTCCCACGGCTGGCCGGGCGCGCCCTGCCCGCCCATGGGAGCTGTAGTCCGCGCTGCTCCCTTCAGCGGCAGGGAGCAAAGGCGACCTGGGAAGGGCACGAACTACAACTCCCAGAAAGCTCCGCGCGGGCCCCGCCTACCTCCTCCTCCTCCTCCTCCTCCAGCCCCGCGTGCTGAGGCGCTGGGGAAGCCAGCGCGGGTGTCGCCCAGTCCAGCGGCTGGGCAGAGAGGCGCTGGGGCTGCGCACCCAGCCGAGCGGAGCGCTGCAAACTCCGCTCCCAGCTGGCGCGCTGGAAGTGGCCGAGTGGGACGAGTAGCCCCGCTGCAGCAGCCCCACAGAGCAGCCGGGGGGGTCTCCAGCAGTGCCGGGGACCTAGCGCTACGCTTGACACCTTGGTTTTACACCCCCCCCAGCCCCGCCCAAACCAACCCGAACGCCTCATCTCCCTACAAGCCACCGTGTTACCAGTTCAGCCCGGAGCGTTTATACATTGTTTCCCAAGGTGACCGCATTTCAGCTGGCTGAGGGGATTGAGGTCTAACCGCCCCCTTCTAGCTTGTCAAACAAAGCTCCGTTATTTGGGTGGGCACTTTGCTTGGCAAGACAACAGAGGGCCAGACTGGCTAAGGAGAGAGACGCTGGATGGGTGGGGAGGGGCTGCCCCCTCTGCCTTACCTTTCCGTACAGTTCCATTGGCAACGCCAGAGAAGGTGGTTCCCAAGGGCAGCCCGCAAGGGGTGCAGGGCAGAACGGGCAGAGGGAGTGGGCCAGGCGTGACTCGGTGGAGAAAGTGCTGGCTGGGGCTGAGGGGCTGTGGTCAGGGTGTAGATGGAGGACTTTCACTCAGGCAGGCAGCAGCGATGGAAGGAAGTGGCAGCAGCAGCAAGCGTCTCCTAGGAAGCTCAGCAGCAAAATTCGCATTAGCCCAACCCCCCAGGTCCAACCTCCAGGCACCTCTTCCATTCATTAACTCAGAGCCACCAACCAGCACGGGAAGGGAAAGGCCACAGGGTTAGTTACACAACGCAAGTTACATAAAATGCAGGCATTAATCACCATAACAAAATACAGCCATAGGATCAGGGAAATAATTACATCCTAGTCTCACCCTCTGCCTCCGCAATACAGGTCCCTATAGTATTCTCCAATGCTTCTACCACCCTAGTATCAATGGCTCAAGTGTTGGGGTTGGTGGGCTGAATTTGAAAAAGGAGAACACTATTTCCTTGTTGTTCTTCCTAGTTGCTTGATACTAAATGTAACCAATTTCTTTAATTAATAAGGTACTGACTTTATCTATAAAGTTCAGAATACCAAGGTCCTGGACTGGCAATTATTGTTGCACTTAAAACTCCACTACTTTTTGTAATTTCTTACTTTTAGGTTCAAGTACATTGCACTTGCACTAGCATTAGTTTTTGCATTTGATATGTTTTTCTATATGCAAGTGCATTTATATTTTGTAAGTCAGCAGAGAAATAGCTGAACAACAATTCAATACAGGTTTTCTTCCCTGTTCCGCTTTTTCCCCCAAGTGTTTTATATATTGAACTCTGCAGTATTTCTCTACTGTTATTCTCGTGTGGAAGGTAAGTGGTTGTTCTCAACCAACTCTTGAACAACTAGATGACTCTTGGGGCTTCTGAGAAACATTTTTCTGTTTGTAAATACTAGTCTCGCAGTCCTGGGAAGCTGTGTTTGCACATGATCTCAGGCCCTAAGTTAGTAAGGTACTTAAGCACACAACTTCAAGCATGCACAAAAAAGCAATGACTTCAGTGGGACTACTCCCTTTGTGAATCATGGCCTTAATCTGGGAAATTGATATAAATACTTTAAATGTCCTGGAATCACCGTATGAATACTCTAACCTAGTGCAAGAAAATGTCTAGAATCCTATAGGACCCTGAGTGGAATTTAACATTAAAAGTCTGATATACATCTTAAGAGACAGCATGTCCAGTGAATAAGGTTCTATTCCTGCCTCTGACATTGACCTGCTGTGGCAACTCTTTTCGCCTCAGTCCCCCAATCCTCCTTTTTTCTCTTTTCTGTTTTAAGCTATTTGGGATAGGGCCTGTCTCTTACCATGTGTTTGTATAATGGACCTGACCCCAGATGGGGTCTTATGGCACTACTGTAGACAAATAATAAAATTGCAATCTTCCCCAGATTTTCCATTTGTCTTTCTTTGATCCTTTCCTTTTACTGAAAGTCCATTCCTTTAACCTTTTTACCCACTTTCCTTTCCCATTGTAATATTGGCATGCACATACATGCACACACAGAGTGAATGAGAGAGACTATGACAGTGGGTTATAAAGGTCTTTACAGCATGTGTTTGGAATTACTCATGAGTGGTGAAACTCAGTCACAAATGATTTACGTAGGTTATCCCACATGAAGGCTAATAAAACCTGTATGTTACACAATTCATCATGTATTTTGCATATGCCTCATATGTTACAGAAAAAATATTTTTCTTATTTTAGAGGTCATTTAAAACATTTTTATGGGCATTGTTTTTCAGAGCCCGCAGCCTCTAAAGCCCGTAACCGTTCATTATCTTGGGTCTAAATAATCAGTTCTCTGCTGGAGAGGAAAATATACCTAATTTTAGAAACTTTTGAAAGTCATCTAATCAGCTTCACTATACATACGAATGTCACAATTTTAAGAGTTGGTATATATTGAAGGTGAGAAACAAAACAGATATACCATTGGAAAAGGCAACAGTGTGAAGGTGCTAAAAAGTTTGGAAAGCTAGACATTGTTGCATAGAGATGGAGAAAGTATATGAATACAGCAATTTATCACACAGATCTCACTATCTACAAATATGGTATATTATACACTACAGATGTGGTCAATACCTATAGACAAATGGTTTAAATACAGAACATAGTGACAAAAATATCTGAGCCTGCGAGATTTCATTTCAACCCTGTACAGCTCCTTTAAAATTCTTCCCTGACTGACCAAAGCAGCTTCACTATGTTGGGATGTAAATAGGAGTGAAGTGTTTTTATCAAGGGCATGATAGAGCGGTGTATTTGTGTATTTGATTATTTCTTTCTGCATGAACCACTTCACATTTGTCTTTCAGTCACTTGAAGCATGAGGAGAATAAATGCAATCTGTAATATGTGCAATATTGGCCCCATTCAATACTTAAATTTAAAAGTGGAGGGGGGGATCCAAGTCTGTAATGTTTGTGATTTAAATTCTTTATTGATTCAAGGTAAATGCCTAACAAGAAAGAAGATAGAGCAAGCCAGTTCTCTGTCAAAAAAAGGTATATTATATTTGTGCTCAACTGCAACGGGAGAAAACAGAGATTTTAACACTGGTGGCTCCTTTAAGATTCTTTTACAGGTTTGTTTGGGAAAGAACAAAAGAGCGGCCATACTGGGTCAGACCAAAGGTCCATCTAGCGCGGTATCCTGTCTACCAACAGTGGCCAATGCCAGGTGCCCCAGAGGGAATGAACAGAACAGGTAATCATCAAGTGATCCTTTCCCTGTTGCTCATTCCCAGCTTCTGACAAACAGAGGCGAGGGACACCATCACTGCCCATCCTGGCTAATAGCCATTGATGGACTTATCCTCCATGAACTTATCTAGTTTTTTTTTAACTCTTTTATAGTCTTGGCCTTCACAACATCCTCTGGCAAAGAGTTCCACAGGTTGACTGTGTGTTGTTTGAAAATGATGTCACAAGGATCTTAAACTGATTGCACTTTCTTTCTTTCTTTTTGTAAAACACTGCTCATTTGGGCATGGTTATACTTTTAAGTCTTAAACATATTTGAAACAGACTGCATGCTCAGAGATTTGATTCTAGAATTTCTTATGAAATAGGTACTCTGAATTCACCATATAGACATTATACTGGAGAATTAAAGGGTTAAAGTTTTGATAGATTCCTGGATTTAGCCTAACAGAGACTTTCTTAATATGTTAATACTTACTTCAGAGTTTACAGACTCACAACAATCTGTTAGCTGAGAGTTTTCTCTAAAGGGGTTATATCAATAGAATATGAAGTAGGATGTTTTGGTCTTTATATTTTGTGCGTGTGATCTTTCATTAAAATTTTAGGTTTTCCAATAAACAGTGACATAAGGACCCTCACTGCATCCTGAGCAACAAAAATGGTATCTCAGCATAAACAACTTTTTTCATGTATTTGTTCTGCTTCCTTCCTTCCTTCCTTCCTTTCTTTAAGAGGCATACAAATTTTTAGGAACAATAATGAGGTATTATCCTTTGTACTGCTGGGCCAAAGAAATTTGCATAGGGCAAATTGGTGGGATTTGCCACTTAGTATTGTTTATTATATGTCTTCCAACAGGCACCTTCATGTTCTGCTTTATGTTGCTCACTTTTTGTTCATGAACTTGTGTGGATGGAATGAGAAAGTCTGCAGGCATGGGATGACTTAAATAACCCAATGATAGTCATAACCAACAGCTAAACATTTGAACTGTAGGCCAGCCAGCTGAACTGGTGGTAAGCTATTGACAGCACTCCAGTCTCGAAAACAAAGCATTGCCCCAGAAGGTGATCTGACACTACAACATATAACCAATCACTGGTTAACAATGCAGTAATGTTTCTGGAGCATACTGTCTCTGAAGCTCCCTTTAGCGTAGAAGGTTGTTATGAATTGGCTGGCTTCATACTGTGTGCCATCATCTGAGGGAATCAGATTGCAGTATATAAGCCCTTTAAGCAGTTGCTACAGCTGGGCAAATGCAAGAAAACTGTCATGAATATGCACTCACATTCTGAGTGACTGGTTGCTTTATGACCACACCCCTTTTGATTTGCTATTTGCAAGTATTCATATGAATGACTTATTTGTTCATACCAATGTTTGGGAAATGGCTGTTCTCTGTGCAAATAGGAACAGTCACATACAAGCAAGGGTCTCTGCTATGTATTATTTACTATTCATTATTCTCCTGTTTTAAAAGTTCCAGTCATGCAATTAGGGAGCAGAAGCAATACCACATGATTTAGGTAAGGGTAAGCAATGGCACACCACCCATAATGAATAGCAAATAGTCAAAGGGATCCGTT